CAGCACCTACATAAACACGGGCTACTCTGAAGCTGTGAAAGTGAACAGTCTCTTGCTATTTGAGAGCAAAGACTTGCCTTCCTGGCCAGAGGGAGTGGGTACAGGTTCACATAGGCTAAGTCTTCCAGAAAGATGGGGCCTCTGGACAGGTAACACAGAGCCCTGTAAAAGGATCCGGAGACTCAGACGCTGGGGCTGTTGAGAGAAGACAGCCCAGGCACAGAGTGCTCGAAGAAGCTACAGGTGATGCATGAAAGAACCAACCTGTTTTTGGAAAGCGTGGCAAAGGCCTCACTGAGGAGCCTAGAAAAGAATTCCACAAGGACTCCAGATCAATGACAAGGTCCTGCTCCAGAACCATAGTTATAATTATATTATCTTTAGAAGAATCTGGGTGAAGGGCATATAGTAACTATGTTTCATTTTTACAACTTCTCAGTCTGAAATTATTTTAAAATTTAAAATAAGAAAGGTTGGCATATGTGTAGACATACGTAGGAAAAATGAGAAACTATAGCTAAATGTACCTTTATTTACAAAATATTCGTTACAAAATTTTACAAAATATTTCTCTACATGTTGATATATAAAAATATTACATATATTCATTGCAGAGTGGCGATTCAGTCCTCCAACCTGGCAGCTGCTATTCTTACTGAGCTGCTGCTAGGAAGCCCTATTAGCAAGTTCATAGGGGCCTGAAACCTTCATCATGCCTCATGAGAAAAAAATGGTTGAAGCAGATGACCCAGGAAAATATTTCACTGGTGGGCTTAAGAGAGAAACGATGGGAAAGCCCTTTAAGTATTTGGCAAATATGGACAAATAGTGGAATGCTCTTGATGAAAAACAAAGAAACCAACAAATCAAGAGGATTTGCTTTTTTTAAAAATTTCAGATTAATGTGAGAGTACAATCAGATTACAATGTTAGCATTTGTTAGGAAGAGTCCCTATTGCAGGTGTGTCCTACATGCAGAGAGTATGACATGTACCCTTACATTGTGCCCATTTGCTTTTATCACCTTTGAAAGCTCAACAGATACAAAAGATGCAAACAGTGACATGTGTGAAAAGTCTTTCTATGGAAGAGGCATCAAAGTGGAACACACCTCCAAACCATCATCTGAAAGTGGTAGACGTGGACCACCTCAATCTCCAAGAAGCAGAGGCCCTCCAAGAGGTCTTAAGGGTGAAAGAGAAGGATGTGGGAGAACCATGGCAAATTCCTTTTGGGGAGGACACATGGAAGATAGTGGCTATTCCATTAATTTTAACATGAGTTATTCTGGGGAACCATTCCCAGTAAAAAGAGGATCGTCACCATGAAGTGGGGATATTCCTCCTAAAATATCTGCCCTTTCAGGATATATACAGTTTCAGCAGCAATGGAATGGGAGGAAGAGTTCATATATCACATGGAAGAGATCGTTATGGAGGCCCACCTCAAAGGGAACCCCTGCCCCCTCACAGAGATGTTTCTCTCCAACAGACGATGGATAGTCTACTTAAAATGGCTATTCAAGCAGAGATTACCCAAATTCTCGAGAGACAAGAGATTATGCACCATGATCAAGAGATTATACTTGTCATGATTATGGTCATTCCAGTTCACACGATGACTATGCATCAAGAGGCTACCATGA